TAGTTCCCCACCTCTGGTCCATAGTAGGCAGTCTAATTACTAGCCAGTTTTAAATCAAAAACGGCAAAAGCAAACTCAATGAAATTGGGCTCAGAAAGCATCTAGCCACACAGGGTTTAAAGCCTCCAAGTCCTTTTCTTCCAAGTTCTCTTCGTCCGTGATGGAGGGCAGGAAGGTTAAAAAGGCCAACTAAAGCTTTCCCTGTGATTAGCTCAAGCAGAGGCAAAATGAATAGGCCATCTGTGACCCGGACAATGGAAAAGAAACTGCCCATGGGCTTTGAATCGAGCACAAAGAGGGAAGCTAGAATACCTCCCTCCCGCCCCCATTCCACCTCCCCCAAAGGGCTTCTGACTTTAAGACAAGTTTGCAGGTGAGCTGATAAAAGAAAAGTTAAGGGAAGGGAATCAGGATAACACATCTGGAGCTAGAAAGAACTTCAGGCACCATCTGGTCCAAACCTTTTCTTTTCACAAATGAAAGAAACTGAGGCCAAGGTAAGTGGCTTGCCTAGAATCAAACAAATAGTAAATAGGGAAGCCAGGATTCAAACTTCCATTCTAATGGAAGAATGTATATCAGCTTAACACATTTATATGTAAGACCTCTTCAGGATTATGTTTTATTGCACATTAATAATCCTACCACCTACATGCCTTTGCACAAGCAACCCTCATCCCAGGAATGCACTCTCTTCTCACTTCCATCTCTTGGAATCTCTAGTTTGAGAACAAATGCCACCTTCCACAAGAGGGCTTTCCTGATACCACCCCTGCAATTGCCAGTACCTCCCCTCGAAATCCCAATAATTGTTGGGATAATCCTGAAACAACAATAATCATTAATTATTCTGTATATACTTACATATGTACAAATCTCTTTGGATAGAATGTAAGCCCTTTGAGGGCAAAGTATGTTTCACTTTCGCCTTGATAATTCAAGCACAGTACACAGCATCAATTGATCACTCAATCTGGATGATAACTGACTATCTTAAAGCACAATTATTCTCTAACTGCACAAGTTTTTGGTAAAAGGGTATCATCGGAGGTACAGATTTTCAAAACCTATTTACTCCAATAATGGAGGGAAAACAGAGATACCCTATACTAGATGGCCAATGTTACTGAAGTCCAGTGCAAAAGTGATGTGGTGGTATTTACTTGCAGAAAGAAAAATGAATGCTGCAATGTACCTATAAATTTCAGTTTTCCCCACTGTCTTCATTCATTCTCAGATTATGAGTGGCCTGATAATGAACTGGTGTGCATTTTACATTAAATATTTTTATATTACCGTAAGTTTCTTAAAGTGCTTACTTCACAAAAACACTCTGAAGCAAATAGAGATTATCTTCTTTTTACAAATGTGGAAACTGAGATTCAGAGATGTTAAACAATTAACCAATCATCACAAAAGTGTCAGGGAGAGAAGTTAAATCTAAGTTTTTCCACATTCTACCTCAGATTCTCCAACTCCAGAATCAACACACTGTGCCCAATATCACAATGTTTCTCCATATTTCTTACCAGATCTACATTTTATAGGGTAATTCACAAAATTTATTTTCTGAACACTTCAAATACTCCTCCCTTGAACATGACAAACGGAAAGGATCACATGATGCCTTAACGGTTAATCAGATGCACCCACCCACTCTACTCTGTTCACAGTCAATCTCAACACATAAATCAGAGCAATTAAATGGAAACAATTTTAATCCCTCCCTCCCTTAACCTCAATGTGAAATATTCAATTTTAGGAGCTAGGCTACACATCTTATCTGCGCCACAATTAATACTGAGTCAATTGAACTGTTTAAGCACCTCTGTATTTAAGAGTGAGGAAGTCATTTTTCAATAAAGAAGTCTGCAGAATATCTATAATTGTTGTAACAACGACAGATTGCACAAGTGGGGAACCTCAATGTAAATCATCTCGTTTTCTGAGAATTTCTGGAACTGTGATCTGATTTTCCAGGAACAGATGACAAAAGCTGCCAACTTGTATGACTAGATTTTTACTAGAGCTAGAAAATTCAGAAAGGGCTCTTAAAAGCCACTAAGAAGTGCTGCTGAATTCCTCCCAACGTGTCCTCCCCCTACAAAGAATACTGTTTCCAAGAGAATGACGGCTTGAAACAGTTCCCTGGTATAGGGGAAAGAGAATCTTAGATAAACAATCTTTGGTGATTTAAGCAGTAAATATAGTAGCAAAAAGCAATTAAATTTTGTGTAGCCTTTAACCTACTTCGCTGCTACTTCTGGCACCAACAGGACATTTTACATGTCACTGGAGGGTTAGACAGAGAACAAAAAAGTGTCAAATCAACAAGTGTCATAGCATCATAACAAACCAGTTTATAAGCCAATATTTCACTCTTTCAAAAGCAAAAGAGACAGGCTGCCTGGCACGGCTCAGGTGGTTTTCAGGAAGGCTTCTGCTAACCGTATTTTCCTAGCAGTGATAATGGACTTGCAATGACCCATCCACACCCTCTTACATAGAACCCTCATGACCAATAGCACCAAGGCTAGGCTTAAGAGAAGGTCAGAAAATGTTAAGAATAAGATTTGTGGCCAAGCTAATGAAGCTAAGAGGACTCAGTGCTTTAAGAAAAGAGAAATAATTTTTAAATAAAATAAAAATGAAGTATATATACAATATATATTAAAATACACAAAAGAAAGCATATGTAAAAATAAAAATTAAAAAGTAATTTTTTTAATAAAAGCATGAGACATCAGATACTGTCTACCTTAAAACCACAGACATCTACCCACATAAACACATACCCTCAAGAAAGTATACCAAGAAGACTTATTCCACAACCACGCTTTACACAGAGCAGCTATCAACATCCACTCCTTCTTCCTGGCTTTTAACCAATATTGGTATAGCATCAAAGATTTAAATAAATGAAATATCTAATCTCTTATAACTATGTACAAAGCCTTATTTCTCCTACGAGACTATTAACTCCTTGAGGGCAAGGAATCTACTTCCATCTCATTTTATACTTCAAGGAGGCTGACTCAGTGACTTGAACACAGTAGGTATTTGATACATCATAACTGAATTAATGATCTGAGAAATATGCCTGTTAAGAAAAGTATCCCCCATCTTTTTTTCCATTGGAAAAAACTGCTATGACTTTTCAAGGAAGTGGGTGAATCCCTTTTAAAGAAACTTAAAAAAAAAAAACTACACCTGAAACACTTCATGTAGTCATCATTCTGCAACAAAAGACAGACACAATTCAGAGAAGGTGACAAAAATGATCAAGGGGTCAACCTATGAGCTATTATTAAGGACTGGCTAAATGCCAGGCACTGGACTAAGCAAGATGATATAAACCCAAAAGTGAAACAGGACCTAACTTCAGGGAGCTTACCTTCTACAGAGAGGGGAAAGGGGGGGGGGGGAAAGGACGGTTGCAAACATTAAGACTAGGCCATTTGAAAAAAGGAAGGGCAAGGGGAGATTTGATGCAAGTTCATATGATCCTTAAACTGTATAGTTATTCAAGAAACCGCAGAATACCAGAAGTAGGAGGCATCCCCTGAAGCTTGAAAAAGAACCTTGTATAACAGATAACTGAGTGATAAAAATTGAAATCAGCAAATAGGCTTAAGAAGATTTCACAGTAATTGCCACGATAGTTCGATAATAGGTTATTAAGAAAAAGGAGAGAAATTAGAGGTTAGGAAATACCTCTCTAATCCATTAAAGTTACCATGAAGTCCAACTTTGGTCCCCTATAAAACAAACACCTTTGATGCCACTATCTGAGGCAAGAGGCTGGTCTAAACAGCTAATGAGGTGTGGTCCAGTTTGATGTTCTGTATACTCAGTTACCCCAAGCCTATTTCTCTAAAATGTTTTAATCATTTACAACTGGAAAACTACAAAGTCATTAAGCTTTGCTACCTCTGGGCAAAAATCAGCTTCTTACTCAACTTTTCCTCTTGGACTTTCTTACAACTTAAGCTGAAGCCTTCTGGAGAACTTTTCCTGCCTATTATCATGGTACCTGAGTGATGATTACCTAGCATCTACTTGATTCAGAATAGTATGTTATTTATTTCAGTCTCTGCAATTAAAATCTCCAATGAAAAGATGACGGGTAAGAGGGGGGCCACAGTAATACACTATAGGTGGAGCTGTTAAGTGGTCCAACCATTGAGAAAAGCAATTAGGAATTGTGCAAATTAAATAACTAAAATGCCCATACCTTTGACACAGAGATTGCATGGCTCCCAGGAAGGCAATGATAAAAGAAAGGCCCTACATACACAGAAACATTTATAGCAGGACTTTTTGTAATAGCAAAGAATAAGTAGATGCCACTGATTGGTGAACGGCTAAGCAGACTGTGGAACAAAAATGTAACAGACCATTACTAAATGATGAATATGAGGAAGCACAAGAAAACTTACATAAGAACAGATACAAAAGGAATGATAAGCAGATCCAGAAAAACAATATATAAATGACTACAACAATGAAAATGGAAACAACAATCATAATTGAAAATTAATACTGTGAAATTATGAATGACCAAGCTTGGCCTCAAAGAATAGATATGAGAAGGCACCTCCCTTCTTTTTTTGCTAAAATAGGAGTCTCTGAGTCTATAAACAATAGGTGATGTCAGACTTTTCAGATGTGTTGATTAGTTTTCCTGAACTGCTTTTCCCCTTCTTTTTTTTTATTTTTTGTTATAAGGGATGGCTCTCTGAGAATGGGAGGGGAGAGGAGGGGATATATCTGGAAATGAAGATGACTGCTCATGCAGGGAGTTCTTTCAAAGCCAAGAAAAGGGCTGGATTGTGGCAGCATCTTGCTACTTTCTTCCGTCAATAACTTTTCTGTAGTTCCATCTCAGGAATTTCCTTTGTGCAAAACTAGAATCTACTCTTGGTTAATTTCTTCCTTTTTCTTTTTTCACTCTAGCTCACATCTGACTGATTTTACCAGGACCACACAAGCACCCATACCTGGTAATATGGATGATGCAAAAAGGAATCCGGGCAGCCAGCTAAAGCCATTGGTTCTTTCTTGCTTTCTTCAAATTACATTTACTGTGGTACTGCACCTGCAACAAAGACCAATCGTGAGAAGCCAAGGCAAAGGAAAAGTTTATCCTACTTGTTACTACTACAAAATTTCTGCATAGAGATAATAAAATCTCTATGACCCCCAGGCCATCTCAATTTGTAGACCTGATAGGTCTTTCATTAACATAAAAGCAACTACAGATTTTATTCTAGCATTATGCGTCAGATCATATACTAGAGCAGGGGCTCTTAACCTGAGGGTACCCTAACTTGTTTTGTTTTGGTATTAACAACTGTCCTTCAATATAATTGGCTTCCTTTTTAATCCTATCTATTTTATCTTGGGCATTTAAAAGCATTATTCCTAAGAAGGGGCCCACAGGCTTCACTAGACTGCCAATGGGGTCCATGACACCAGAAATGAACCCCTCAACTAGGGCATGGTCTGGGTCATGAGCAGATTCTTTTGGGCTGGCCACACGTTGGTAATGGAAGAGCAATACAATTTGGAGGGGCTACGTGGTGCTATTGGAAGGTCACTCACTGTCTCTAGCATGGAGAGAAACAGACTTCCAAAATTTAGTAGCTATGTCACCATGGGCAAATTCACTTAGCCTTCCCTTAAGCTTATGCTACTGATTTGTTTTCATTTGTTAATCACATCCAGAAATGTAGCATTAGAAATGGGTTATGGATAACACAAACATAACTACCAAGAGTTGGGGTTGATTACTGAATGGTTTATGCCCATCTACTTCTGAAATAATCCCAATGAAAAATAACCTGCTCAATTAACTAGTTTTAGAGAAGCAATATGTAGTTATTTTGCCAAGAAACTACAGCAAACATTAACTCACAGAAATGAAAAGTTTATTCTTCACCCAAAAGAACTGTGCTCTTATTTCATGAATAGTCATCCCCAGTGAGAGCAGAAACTGGTTCAGTGTTACCTGAATCCACTGAAAGCAGGGTTTTCCTAAAGTATACTCAGAAGCATTTCCAAGCGGATGTAGCACTGTATCATTCCAAGGCTGTTGTTTTTTAATCTAAATATTAACTACTCCATAGATCAGCCTGGTGCACAGAAAGAACCCTGGCAATGGACTCAAAGATAGGAATAAAGACACATGTTTTTGAAAATAACAACTGGGAGAATCTGCTTTCCTTGACTACAGGGGAGGGGGAAGGGGAAAGAGAAAGGCAAGGGATGAAAGGGAATGGAGGAGGAGAAAAGGAAGGGAGAGGGCAAAGCCAAGGGGAGAGGGAATATGAAGGGAGAGGGGGAAAGGGAAGGGAGAGGGGAGGGTCAAGGGGAAAGGAAAGAGAAAGAGAAGGGAGGAGAGGGGAAGAGAAGAGAGAAAAGGAAGGGAAAAGAGAAAAAGAAAGGAAAGGGGAGAGGAAAGGGAGGGAGGAAAGAGAAAAGGAAAGGAAAAGGAAGGGTGAGGGTGAGGGGTAGGGAAAGGAAAGGGGAAATGGAAGGGAGAAGGAAGGGTCACCAGGAGGGGAAATGGAGAGAAGAAAGTCAAAGGAAGGGGGAAGGGGAAAGGGAGAGGAAAAAGGGAGGGGAGGGTGGTGGGGTGGGGAGGAAAAGTGGTAGAGGAGAACCTTGATCTTGGAGAGCTAAACAATGTCTGAATGCTGGCTCTACAGCTTAATAGATATATGCCCTTGTTTTGTCATTTACCCACCACGGGTTTCAATTTCCTGTAAAATGAGGAGGTTGTAGTAGTGATCCTTCTAAGGTTCCTTCCAGTCCTAAATCTCCTATCTTATGATATTGAGTGATCATAGGATCACAGATTTAGAACTCTAAGTATTTCCTAGATTTAGCACCAAATAACAAAACATACAAAAGGGAAATTTTTTAAAAGGTGACAAACTCATGCCTGAGAAGCAAATTTGGCAAGAACACACCAACACCAAGAACGGCATTCCCTACCCACAGAGAACTCTGCTTTCTTGCTGGTGGCATGAAAATCTTGCCAAAAATATTTTGGAATATAAACTAAATTCAAGCATTCATTCAGATCTGAATCTGCCTCCCACAGATTTGAATCTATTTCAAAATAGTCTCTGGATAAAAAGGAAAGGTTAAGAAAAAGAAAAGTCCTGCTTTAGTAAACCATTTACACCACGTGGCCCCTTCTTCAAAGCAATTCCTAATAAATACTAACAGCTAAAATAAATGACTCCAATCACAAATTAGAAAAACAGAGCAACTTCAGGGACTCTTCTATCTGACAGAACTCTTGGGACACGTCCAAAGAGGTCATCAAGTACAATAAATGCTATGTAGGGAGAGCCTAACAGGCCTTGCCCCAGTAGCATGTAAAATACCTTTACCAACACTATCTCAGCAATCTTCACAATATTCCTAAGAAATAACAAAACTGAGGCCCTGGGATGGATATGTTCATGTCAACTCACAAGGGAAAAACCAATGGAATTTAGATCAGCTCAGTGTTCTGCCTGTCAAATCCCTGAAACAATCGATTCATTTATCCTGAATAGTACTTCCCTAAAATAAAGATATGCACAAGTGCGGAAAGTCCATGGATGTGGAACAAAACATATATTTTCAGTTTTCCAGTGAATTAATTGGTTTTGCTGATTTTTTCCCTATTGTTCCTCTTTTTCCTAAAAAAAAAAAACCAGTCTTTGTAATAAAAGGATGGCTTTCTGGGAGGGGCAGGAGAGGGGAACAGGAGAAATCTAGGCAATGTATAAAAAGCAAAAAATGTCAATAAAAATGCATCTAATAAAAAAATAAAGATATGCTTAAAACACAGAAAGATCAGTCTGCTTAATCCAACCAGAATTCCTATTTATGGTTCTGTTTTGAAAATCAGAATTCATACAGGAAAAACAAAGCCCTATCATTTAGAATACACTTGACTGATCCTTGGTTAAAAGCTGTAACTGGAATGTAAAATGTGATGAAGGGGAGATTGATTCTCTACAGGGCTATCAGGTTTCTTTATTCTTTCCATCCCTTTCAACAAGCCTTTTAACCAGCCTTGCAGAACGCTCTCTTGCAGCTGGAATAAGCCACTGTTTTTAATCTATAAAGATTAATGTCTTTATTCTTCTATGCCTCTTTAGGCATCATGCACTTGACAGTATTAACATAAAAAGCTGATCCTCACCTTTGCTCTAAAAGATGAATTCAACTAAGTAATTTTTTTTTCTGGCTGTCATAGCTATTGAATTTGTCTTTTAACTTCTAATGAATTTTGCTTCTGAGATGTCTCCAAAATGCCACCATGAACAAAATAAACGCTTGAGGCAAATTTCTGATATCCGATGTAATGTTTCACAACATCTCAAGAGAACTCACTTGAATCACCTTGTTAGAAAAGAACAATTAAAATTTTGCTTAAGAGTAAAATGGCTTGGGAAAGTAAAAAGCAATTTTTACTTTCTTCTTTTTTTTCCATATATCATATTTTCTATTTTATTCATTTTTCTATTTAAAAATTTTTATTGTATATTAGGAAGGCATTTTTCCTTATTCTAATAAGTTTTATTAACAGCTCTGCCTGTACTGGAATAAAACCTGATTTATTCTTTAATCAACTGATCAAGTAGTTATTAAGCACCTATTACATAACAAGGACTGCACTAGGTTTTAAGAATACACAAAGAATGAACAATTTTTATTTGCAAGTAGTTTACATTCTAATGGGGGAGAAAATAAGTCTACATGAAAATACAACCAACACTAAATGATACCCTGTGAACCTTAATTCTGTAATTGATTGCCATTTGTACCTCTTAGGTCTAATGAGCAACTTAAATAGAATATAGGGGAGAGTGAGAAAGAACCAATAATCCTCAAGGTAATGTAATTACTCTCTAACATCTATTGATTCAAGACAACAGTAGAGGCTCAGATTTAGTTAAAAGCCAAACAAAACAAAGTATTTTAAAAGAAAAGGAAAGGATTTGGACCTAGAAGGGACTTAAAAGGTCATCTAGTCCAAGTGTCAAATGATGTAGTCTGCAAAACTCCTCTGTGTAGCCCGAACAAGTTTAAAATGTAATTGGTGAATAGTTAACAAAATAAATAAAAATATAGTATGAGATAATGCTAATTTGTAGTTTTCTAAATCGATATGCAGTCTACAGAGATCCATTCCTATTAGAATTTGGCACCATTGATTTAACCAACCCCATCATTTTACAGAAAGGGAAAGTTAAGGTCCAGAGATATGACCTAACTTTCTTAAAGTCACAGTAGGTAATTATAGGCGAAGTGGCCAGGAATTCAAACTCAGATTCTCTAAATCCAAAGCCAGCTGCTCTTCACTATTCCCCAGACCTTCATTTGATTATGCAGATTGGAGTTGGGTCATGGAGAATCAAAATGGGGAATCTAGCTTTGATACAGGAGTCATCAAGGAGTCACTGATGGCTTCTGAACAAGGCAGTGACATGATCTGATAATAAGTCACAAGCAGAATTCGTTTCAAAGTGGGAAGAAAAACTGATAGAAGCTGGTGAAAGCCTGGATATGGCAGATAAAGGAGGATGCCACAGAGATGATCCCAAGCTTTTAAGACTAAGTTACTGAAAGCACAATGGTGACAGAGACACACGTTTGGTACAGGATGCTGCTTTGGAACCAAAGAAAAAGTTTAGGTTTGGAGACTCTGACTTTGTGGTGATGGCAGGACATCCCAAAAGATACATACTAGAGAGTCAGACGGGGACTGCAACTCAAATGAGATGACAGGGCAAGGAAATGAAATTCTTAAAAAACTCCCATAATACCTTATGATTGGAAGATGCTCTCCACCTCCAGAGAAAGAGATGACAAGTGGAAATATGTGTTGTGTGGTCTTACATATACATGTGTGTGGTTGTATATATGTATATGTTTATAGATACGTATATGTATATGTGTATGTATATATCTGTGTCTAATTGTAGCCTTCCTGGGGTGGAGGTGGGGGGAGAGAAAAAAATAAAGTAAAAAGCACACGGCAGAGAACAAAAGAAAACCTAGAAAGAAACAAAGAGAGTAGCTCTGAAAACA